CTCCTCTCTGAATTTATAATAATGTAGTAGAATAAAATACTGTACAAAATATCAGGTATATATGCATTTATTACACTGATGGTTTCTGGGGAGTGTCAGATCTTGTCCAAAAGATTACTTAGATGGTAGCAACAACTTGTCTTTCCTGGATATATTTCTAGGAGCAGCTGTTCTTCTATTTTCCTTCTTGGGTAGCCAGTCCATCCACTGTCTCGCAATGAAGGGGCACATTGTAGTTAATACAGGTCTTTGTGTATTTACCACTGCCAAGACTAGAAGAGGCTTTTATGGTCGTTTATCTGGCTTCTTGCATTAGGCAGATTGATTGCAGCATGCCAGCAAGCCAACACCTTTTGCAGGGGTAGTAATGTCACTGAATTTACTAGAACAAGATGCTGGAATTTAGGTCCTAAATCTAGGGCCATTATAGATGACAGAAAGCATCAGCGAGACTGAAATGCACCATCTGCAAGAATAACTGATGGGATGCTGCCATCTGCTCTAGTCATTGCTGGGAACCATAGACTGCTTGGTCTGAGGGGGTTATGTTCCTTCAGACCAGAAAGAAAGGGTTTTTTTTTGTGAGGTTTGGCTGTTGACACATGCTTACAGCTGGAAAAGAAGGAAATGTGTCTGAGAGAGAACACCTGGGGGTTTAGCAGCATGAAGTTGTGTTGGGGTGGGGGGTTTAGGTTAGATATCAGAGAAAGGCCCTTCTCCCACGGGCTTTTGGGGCACTGGAATGGGCTCTCCATGGAAGCTCCAAGCTGTCTGAGCTGAACAATTGTTTGGACAATGCTTTTAGGCTCAGGGTGTGATTCTTGGGGCTGTCCTATGCAGGGACAGGAGGTGAACTTGATGATCTTTGTGGATCCCTTCCACCTCAGAATACTCTATGATTCTACGTGGGATTATGGACATCACAGGGGACTCATGGCTCTTCTAATAATCAGCTGAGGGCTGTTCTGCATGATTCATGGCTTGAAAACATTAAAACTTTTCTTGGGAGAAGGAGAAAAAAGTTTGTGCAGACAACTGTTTCAGTATCAGTAGTGTGTGTATGTGTGCGTGTCGCTATTTCTGGAAGGTTTCCATTGTGTACAGGCAGCTCAGGGCTCTCACTTCACCCTGAGACACTGAATCAGCATCCCTGCCAAACCCTTGGCTAAAGCCCTATTTTGAGTTATTTATCTTCATATTTCCACCACTTTATTCAAGCTGGAATTTTTCCTTTCTTGGCCTCATGTAAGGCAGAGTGAAGAGGAGGCAGAATGTGTCCTTCATCAACCAAATGGCTGAAACTCTACGCGGGAGCCAGCAGTTCCTGGGCATCCCATAGTGCAGGGCAACAACCCTTTCTAGGGCTGACTTTGCTTCTTCCTTGCTCCAGCCACTGCCCACAGTTCCTCCTGCTTTGTAAAAAGCTACAGTAAAGGGGAATGTGCCATCAGGAAGTCTTTAGCTGCCATCCAGGGCAACCCAAGATGCAGACCAGTCTTGCAGGCCAGGATCAAGCCCAGGAGAGCTCCCAAGTGTAAGGTTACCCTTCCCCAAAGCTTCCCCTCCACATATTACCTGTCTGAGATTCCAATTTAAATCACATGTTCTCTTTTCCTCATGCACTGTGCCTCATGAAAGGCCTGGTGAGAAATTTAGAGGTGTCAAGGTCATCTTGAGTGATGCTCAGTGCAGGATGTCTGACTCACATGTGAATATCACTTACTATAACCGAAGTTTCATACCAGAGAAGATGGTACAAACTATCAGATGGGCTACAAATCTAGTTTTTGTAGTCTTCCTTTTCTAGTAGATCAAGTAGCATTATTTTTTATAACAGTCTTCCATTTTTTTTTCTTTTTTAGATAAGCCTCAGGCATGAATGTTTATTGGCTCATTGCTAAGTTGAGAACTTAGAGCTGCATATTGTCTCTTGAGATGTTGCCTTCAGATGTGGGGTACTCTGTCACCTTTGAAAGGAAATGTGAGTGTGATACTTACATTCCCTGTGAGGAGACTGTGTACTGTCTTACAAAGAGCAGAAGTGTAAAGGAAAGAACAAGCCACAAAAGCAAATGTAGGAGTAGAGCGTTTTGTGGCTTCTGCAGTGGAAACAACACGGCAGAGAAGGAGCAAAGATGCGCAAAGGCACGGCCCGTTGTGGTGCCGCAGTCCTCTGCTCTCCTGTGTGTCAGAGGATGGGGATGTGTAGCAATGCAATGGGCTAAGCAGGGCTCAAGCATCCTTAGCTTGATGCCAAGGACTAACTGAGCCAGGCCCAGCAGCACCGTGCTGGGAGACAGCTGCTTTTCTACCATTGCCCGGGTTTGCTAGCTGGCTTTGTTCAGTCCAGTGGTGTTACTTCCTGTGTGAGGAGAGAGGGTGTCTGCAGAGAGGAGAAGAGGTGAGAGCACTGTTATCTACACTGGTATCTACACTTTGTCTGGCCCAGCACAGCTTGGGCTGGTGTCCGGGCTGTGTCCACACGCAGCTCCAGCCACAGCTCTTTCTGTTCCACTCCCTCCACCTTGGAGGGCATTTCTGGCTGCTGCAGGGGCTGCCCTGCCAGTGCTGTCTGCTGGAGCTGTTTTCAGCATGTTTATCCCGTGCCACACCTCTGAAGGTACATGCTGGCTTCTAGAGTTCCTCTAGAGTTGCTGTGCTCTCCAGGGATACCTACAGGCACCTTCTCCTCACTGCCTTCTCTTGGGGCTCTCCTTGAAGGGAAAACAGAGATGTCAGTGCGACAACTTAGAGTGCTTCCTTCCAAGTAACAGCCAAAAAATCCCTTCCTTCTTCCGAAATGGGGATCAAAGCCCCGTCAGAACTGCAGCAGGACGTTGTCTTGCTCCTCAAGAGAGGAAGGGTAAAGCTGGCAGAATACTGACATTTCCCCAGGAAGACTGAGCTTAGAGACATGGGCTGCTTTGTCTTTGTCCAGCTGGGTCTGATGGAACAGGAGGTTTCTGATGCTGGTTAGAGAAAGGAGAAATGTTAGAATAGTCAGAAATGCTTTTGGGACAGACCATGCGCATGCTAGAATCTCATGGGGAATTCTTTCTGCAGGTAAGTGATGTGCCTCTTTGCAGGTCTGGCTGTGCTTTTGGCTTTTGTTACACAAAATCTCTAAGCAAGTGGACTTTGTGCACATGTCCCAAGTACTCAGGAATACCAAGGGCTGGTGTCACTTCTGTGATGTCCAGTGACCATGGGACATCAGCCACTGCCTTTGCTCAAGTGCTCCTTCACTGCTCACGGTAAGCTCATTTTGGAACAGATTTTCCCATCCTTTAGGAGTGGTTTCTTGCTCCTGCCTACCTGTTGCTCTAACAGAAACAAGGATGTTTGTTGTGCTGGTCTGCTGGACCATAGGGACTTTTGGTCTGATTCATTTCAGCTGTGAGTTTAGAAGATTGTGTTTGGCGTGCCAAACTGATTAACTGGACGTAGTGGCCTTCATTACAAACACAAGGAAATCTTTTACACCTGGTTCTACTGCTATGGAGCTTTACCTGTCTTGTCTCTCTCACAGTCACACACACTCATCCTCTTGTTTGCATTTCATATGTACCATGGCCAATCCCCACCAGCGGGCTGGCAGTGTGATCATGCAGACAGACAGACAGACAACGTGCAGGGGTGCCCTGGAAGGGTGGCTTTGAGGGATGTTGCCCTGAAGAAGGGGGACAAAGTTGAGCAGAGCACGGACAGTGGTTTCATCATGCTGGGCCTCCCTCCACTCTGCTTGATGGACCCAGCAAAAAAAAACTCCAAAAAACTGAGGAGAAATAGGGATTGCTGCCTTTGCCCAAATTTCTTTAGGGGCTCTGGCTGGAAGCAGCTGTGTCCAGGAGTTTGACACAGCTTGCTTGGCTGAGGAGATACCTGAGTGTTGCAGCCTCTGCCCTCAGCTTGTTTCTTGCCACACAGGCTGGAAGTCAGGCACAGAAATGTGATCTTGCTGCTGCTGCTTCCTCTCTCCCCTTGTGTGTTCCTCCTTTGTGTGTCCTTTGCTAGGAAACGATAGCAGAAAGAAGGAAGAAAAGTTGGGTTTTCCTGTAAGGAGTGTTTTTTACCTCATTAGTACCAGTAAAAAATGATTAAGCTGGAGAAGGGAGGTGTCTTACAAGACCTTCCTTTAACTTCAAGGTAGAGGAATGACATGAATGAGCAAGAAAGATTTATCTAGTATTGTACATTTCTAGTGCCACAGATTTTCTTCTGTCTGTGACAAAAAGCTGGAAGGTTTCAGTGGCTACTGTAGCAGAGGAATTATGCTGGTGAGGATAAGATTCAAAATCCTCACCACTCCATCTGTTTCATATTGGAATGAGGAATAGGGACTTTATTAGCTTCTCACATGTTTTTGGACCTAGCTCCCATGCCTCCTCACAGCTCCTTCCCTCGCTGTCTTTCCCGCACCAGCCAGCTTCAGGGCTGGTTTGTAGATCAAGGCAGTGCTCTCACCTCCCTTCCATGCCCATCCATCTCACAGCTTGCTCAAGTGGCTGGCCCTGCCTGCAGGAAGCGTTTGTGGCTCTGGCCAGCCCCTCAAACACCAGATGTTGATGCAAAGCTGATCCTGATGGTTTCCAAGGGAAGTGTGTCTCCTTTCCAAGTGCTGTCCAACAGCCACCTGCTCCTCACTGGGGTCCTGGGCTTGCCTTCCCTTGCTGCTGCTGAGGCTGGCAGGGAGAATTGGTATTCCCATCACTCCCCCACCCAAAAATTGCATCCCTCCTGCTGGGATGGTGGCATGTGGATGCTGGAGCTGAGCTCTTCAGGTGAGCATTGAGGAGGACAAGGGTCCCATCTGGCCCTCCAGCTGGGTGGACAAACCTCCAGGGCATTCCTGCATTTTAGTGCCCATTTTCTTTGTGTCTCCATGTTGCCTCCATGCAGACAAAACACCCTGTCGAGACTTATTTCCGCCTCTGCTAGAAATGAGAAGTGCTGGAGGAGAGGAGGAGGAGGGCACAGAGGCTGCACCGACATGCCCCATCCCTGCTTGCTCACAGCAGAAAATCCTTTCACCTGCCAGGAGCTATCATTAGACAAGGCAACACTGGATTTTTTTTGACCCTGAAAATGAACTTTAGGAGGATTTTCCTAGTCAAGTGCTTGCTGCTTTTATTTCCCAGTGTAAAATGTGAGTTTTTCTTACCATTTTTTGCTCTTTTGGGCTGATGTTAAAATTGCATTTTAAACCCTTTACAACTTGGTGGGCTGCTACTGATAAGAAACTTGTTCCACTTTTCCAGTGAGTGAAGGCATCTGGGTTATTGCTATTATTATTTGACTTAATTTTCAGCCAGGGGGAGGGCAGGACCTGAGTTTCCTACTCCAGTTATAATAATAAGCTGTAAAGAGTTTTGGTTTTAAGTTAATGAGCCTTAATTTGACACATGTATAATGAGAAATGTCAGCATGCAGTTTGTTTCTGCCCTCGAGGTAGCTTGTACTACATTAGAGATCCAGTTCACTGTGCATTATCGCATGTAATTTCCTTTTCTTATCAAAGATGTGCAAATCTTTAGAAAGTGCAATTTATATTCTCCCATAAATATTAACAGAGTGATATATTTCAGTGGAGCTGAAGTTTAAGATTGAAAACAGCAAGCAGCTGCATGTATCTTTTATATTTTTCATATTATTGTTGTCACTATTTTTTAAAATATTAATCTAAAAACTTAATTAAGGTGTTAACTCATAGATTAGGGAAGGTTTTAAGAGATGGAGACAATACAAGCCTGCATAAATTTTGTTCTTCTCTGTTTAATTTCACTAAGATTGCATGTATGGCTGTTTAATGCTTTGCTTTTCCTTCAGAACAAAATTAATAGATAAATAACAATTTCTTTTTTTTTTATGTACACGATCTATAAAACATCTTCCCCAGCAGAAATAAGGATTATTCCCTTGAATGGAAAATTATTTCAGAGACTTCCTTCCTTTTCTAAAATTACTATGGGAACTTTTTCTTTTAACTCTTTCTTGTGACTGTGAGTGAGCTGTAGGCTCTCAGTTAAAAGTTTTCTGCCCTTTGGAGCACATTTTAATTGGCATTTTTATCAGAAATGTTGCTTCATTAGCTAAACAGATTTTAAGTATCACGTGTGTGGGATACTCAGCTTTCCACTAGAAAGACCATGGAGACCAGATCAATATCTAGAGATGCCCAGAGATGCCATTGAATTATCCCTGAAAATTCAGATGACTTTTTCCTTTACTTTCAGGGAGAAAATATGAGTATGCAAAGAAATCCCATTACTAGCTCTAAATACTTGTTCATGAGCAGAAACAGCTGTCAGAATTCAAAAATTGGGGTGTAGCGTCATCTTTGTGGGATATAGCTGCTTCCAAGGCTGTTTAGTTGATAGCTTTATTTCAGGACATTTCATTAGGTATGTCAAATACCTTGCAAGAAAGGCAGTGCTGAAAGAACAACCTCTCTTTAGAAGTAGTGAATTGCCAGAAGCACTAGAGCATTAATGTTCTTGTTGCAGAGTCGTGCTATTTTAGTTCTCTGATTATCTCTAATATTGTTAGTTTAATGAAATAGCCACTGGGTTTCAGTTTCCCCTCTGTGGTGCCATTTATCATTATTTTAGATACAAGGACTGAAGGATTGTAATAAAAATGTGCATAAACACAGTTTTTCTCTCTGTGGGGAAAAAGTGCTTAAAATATATAAAATTAGAGCAGAATCAGCTCTGTGTGGTGGTGGGAAGGGAAATCTTCTCCTGCTGATTGGCTTCACCCTGTAAATTGAGGAGGAATGAACAGAATGACAGAGGAAATAAGCTGTGGCTCTGAGCGCGTGCGTTCAGGTGTCTGTGAGCTTATCCCACCTGACACTTGCACGCAGATTTCCACCTCCTCCTGCAGGTTGGTCCACCTGCCAGGGGGGTGGGGACAGAGCCTCACTTGAAATGACCTCCCAGCCAATTTTCCCAAGTCCTGGCTCACCAGAAATGAGGCCTGCAGGGACAGTGGCTGAAGCAGCCTGGAGGGGAGTGGGCAGAGCGGCCGGGCGCTGCTGCAGGAGTGCGTCAACCCCACTGCTAGAAACCTGATGGATGTTTAATAGCCTTGGCTTTTCTGAATATCCCCTTTGGCAGCCCCATGCTCACGTGTTTCCCTGTCCTTAAACCACCTTTGGGAAGCTCCTGCTGTTAACTGGAAAATCAAAGGAAGAGAAAATATTTTTTTCTTTTTTTGGTAATTGCTTTTCTTGTAATGACTCTTGCACCCCATCAGTTCACAGGATGCTGGTAGCTGTTTCTTCCTGCCTTACTTGCCCCATCAGGATCCTGTGCTAGAAAAATCAAGTGGAAACATTCCTGTGGGGCAGAGTAACTGGGATGGGAGAGGGGATGCACTGCTGTGGGTGTGCCTCTAGTTCAGTGCCTTACACTCACTCACAGCTTAACGTGGGCTACTATTATTATCGTCATTGCTATCACCGAGGGCACTGGAATGATTCTGCTTACAGGAACATGACTACTTTTGCTGTCTGCAGTAATGTTTGCAGTGATGGGCACTCTGGGTACCAGCCTATGCCATGTGTAAAACACAGAAGTGACCTTCTTTTCAGGAAGGGCTAAGTTTGTGTTAAAGTGAATGGGAGGCTGTGAATCTTGGCATCAGGAGTCTCTCCAAGTAAGTCAGCCAGGGTATAAATTCAGCTTTTGAAAGCTGGACTCTCAGCTGTCTTGCCTCTCAGAATTAAATTGGATGCTGGCATTTATCTAATGAACAATCAAGAAGTGCTTTGGAGCAGGGGAAGAAGATGGCATCAGTAAAGCAGAGAGGTTTAGGCAGCTCAGGAAGGGGGAGGCATAGCAAATGACAACCTTTTGGGTGGCTGCTGTGGCTGCTGGAGACAACTGATGGGCTGGCTGTGCTTCCCTCAACAGGCTCCAGCACCAGCTGGATTTACAAGGCAGTGAATGAGACAGCTCTTCTCAGCATCACTGCTCCTGGGAGCTTCTATGAGGCAACATGGACCAAGGGCAGACAAAGGTTGGTGCAGATCAAAGGTAACAGCGCCAGGCACTTTGTGAACAAGGACCAGTGCAGGTGTGCGATACTCCGGAATGGGACCCTGCAAATCAAGAGCGTGGAGAAAGGGGACAGTGGAAACTACACAGTGATGGCTTATCAGCAGGATGGAAAACTGAAGGCAGAAGAAAATATAATGTTCTTTGTTCAGGGTGAGTTTTTGCTTTTCTCGTACCATTCTCAGCACAGCTGAACAAGACTGGTTATTCTCTGCTCTCTCCCACAGCCTTTCCTATTCAGCGCCCTCCTTTCTGATTTGGAGTGGGAGGACTTCTGCAGGACATACCCTTGGCTTCCTGCCACTGACAGCAGTCTGCCTCTCTTCTCCCTTCTCTTGCTCCTGTTGATGGCCTTGAATCCCTGGCTTCTTTCTGGCTGCCCTGTTTGTCAGCCAGCAGGTTTCCAGGTGTGCCCAAGAAAGCAGCTGTGAGCACGTTCATGCTGACAGCAGGGAGAGGGTGGTCAGCCCTACTGCAGCACCACAAACAGTGCCAGGACTCTGAGCTGGGGATGGACCCTGAGAAGGGACTGGGCTCCCAGCAGCATCCTGCTTCCAGAAACCTCTGGGAGGACCACAGCAACCTATGTGAGGTACAGCTGTGGCTGATGCACTCTGGGTTTCAGGTACTTCTGCTGCCACTTTATTAGCACTGAATTATGACTTTTGTTCTCTGGCCACTTGTTGAAACACGAAATAGAAGCCTCTCTGAGTCCCTCAGAGAGAGGAAGGAACTAAAATATATTAAATCACATAGACATGAAGTAAGTTTTAGTTTTAAGTAAGTAGAAATATATCTTAAGTGCCTTAAGAGACTGTGCTAGCTAGTAAAAAGCCCTAAAGCCTAGTTTAAAGTTCAGCAGTGTAACCCTTCATAGAATTAACTTAGCTCTAGACATAACAAAAACACAGCTTGCATTTCTAGATAGAACAGATAAAGCTATTTATGTAAATAGATAATGCTCTGTAGGTAGATTTTGGGTAAGAACTGACACTACTTTCACATGTTAGAATTAAGCTTAGATTGGTGTAGAAAGAATGTTTTAGAATGGTGTTTTTAGCTGATTGGATGATTTAACAATAAAATCCCCCTGTATTGGAGAGGAGAAGAACAGAAAGAAGAAAGAAGAAAGAAGAGGAAGGACAACAACACAACTACAACAGATCAACACACAAGAAAGAAGAAAAGAAGAGGAAAGGGAGCTGCTGCTGTGGCTGCTGCTGCTCAGAACATCAGGACTTTACAGCAGGAAGCTTTTAGCATGGACTCCAATACTCTGAACTCTTTGCCTTTGAGACTGGTGCATTCATACAATAAACAACTTTACAGCAACCAACAACTGCTCTTGTCTCTTTGAGACCCAAGACCTGCGAAAAATTCAACAGCCACTGGTCCAGCAAGCTGAGCAACTTGTGTTGCCAACCCCTTGAGGAGAGCTCAGGAGTCCAGATGGCACTAAATGCTGCCTGCATTTAGGCAATGGAATCCCACTCCATTTTTGCTCTAACATACAAAATAGCCAGCAGTCGCCCCCCCTGAGATAAACCACAAAAGGAATTGAATTTGCAGTGGAAGAAGACTCCTGCACCCTATCCTTGAAGAGCATAACACAACAAAAAGTATGATTGTGCTGTTCAAAGCACAGTTAAGCACACACCTGGGGATTTCAGCTGCATGAGTTCAAAGCATGAGGGCAGCCTCCATTCCTGTGCTGCATCTTGTCCTAAGAGACTGGAGCAGCAGCAGTTTTGGGGTTTTTGTAGTAGCAGGTTTTTGGGGTGAGTGGGGAGGATGGGAATGGCTATTTTGCTCCTCAGTAGCTGCTGTGACCTCTCCAGACCTCTAAGCTGTAGGACAGCATGGGTTGTTTCCCCAGTAAGGGGAAAGTTTTGTTCTGTCCTTCTTCACTCAGCATGCACACCTTTGCCAACATCTTGAGTTTGTGGGCACCAGCTGGGATTATGGAAATGCTGCCTTGTTGAGGCAGCAATGACAGCTGGAATGGTTTTAGCAGGTTTCTGTGCAATGGGAGGCCCTGTGTCTAAGGGGCTGCTGAGCAGTGAGGGCGTCTCACTGCTTTGGGAGCTATTACTGTAAACAGATGCAGGAAGTCATCAGGGCCTGATGCTTCTTGCTCATGTTTTAAGCCACTGAACTGTCACTGGGGTGTCCTCATTTCAGGTCAAGGTTAATGTTCCAGCCCAGCTGTGTGCTGCATCATTTCCTCTGCTGAGCAGCAGAGAGTGCATTACCTCTGACACACGGTTTTGGAAGTCCTGTAGCGACTGTCGGGTGCTAGAATGATTTGTCAGCCAGGCTGGCCCTTTGTTACTAGGGCTGGACAAACAGTTGTTAAAAAATAAAATAGCCCCAATGATATTGTCACACAACTCCATCACCAGCAGCTGGACCCTAATGTTTCCCTCTGGGATGTTTCCCTGAATAATAGGTTCCATTTTCCAGAGGAGGAGTGGGTTTAACGAGGAAAGGGTGGCTGCAGATGTGGTTTGAACCTTGACTGCATGTGCTATGAGCAGTCTTTATTTGCTTTAGAATTTATGATCTCTATAACTTACATGGTCTGTGGGCTAGAGGTGGCACTGGCATGTTCTTGTTTATCTGGTCTTAAAGGTAGAAATACTTATTTTCCATTTGCTGTCCCTGCCAGTTGCCCTTACTTGAGGAAAACCCTGCAGGCTTTTCTGTCTCTTTCAGTGCCACCAGTGACAGAGAAACTGGAACCAAAAGGCAGCAAGTTGTTTGCAGGGCATAAGAAGAGACAGAAATCAGTTTTGTGTGCCATAACCTCATTGAGAGCTGAAGTGTCTGTTTTGTGTTCTCCATTCTGGGTTGATGGCCTTCCGTGCTGTGCTGTCATGCCTGCTGAGTGCTGTTGGTAGCACACAGAGCATCATAAACAGCTTTTCACAGTTTTTCCTAATTTAGAGAAAATCTCTCCTGATGAGCACAGGCAGAACAGGACCAACTTCACTTGCACCAAAACACAGGGTGCAGAGCTGGAGTGGGCTGTGGCTCTGAGTCCCTTCCATCCACCTGAAGACTCAGCTTCCTCCCCTCACCTGCCTGGTGCCCAGCTCTGCTTTACTGGGCCAACTATGTAGGCTACTGCACTGCATTTTCTTTATTATTGCCTTGCTGCTTCTGTAGTAGAGGTTTAATTTGCTCTTCATTCTTCTGTGATCTCATCAGCTGGTGATTTGGGGTTAATTCTCTGTTCTGCTTAATAACAGAGGCTTTCAAGAGGAGAAAACTTTCTCAGCTGTGCCTCTCTTCCCTTCTTTTTAGGACCTGTCCCTCAGCCAATCCTCACAGCTGAATGTGGGAATAAAAGTGTATCTGTCAAGTGTGAAGCAAAAGAGAAGGCTAAGGATGAAGCATTTCTAATGGAACTGACTCAACCCAATGGCAAAACAATCCAAAAGAATGCGACGGTGCTGGAATGGCACGGGCGCAACTCTGGGACGTTCCGATGTGTTGCTAAGAACCAAGTCAGTGAAAAAATGGCTGAAAAAATCATTAAGTGCCCAGGTAAGAAATCTTTTTCATCAGAATGTGCTAGGGTGGACCACACAGACTGACACAGTTGCACACATCGGTAGGACCAGTCCAGGTGCCAAAAGAACAGAGATCCTGAGTACCCAGTACTGTTTTTGGGATCTGATGCTGCTGTGGTAGCCAGGGTGCAAGTCATGCTTTCTGCCTGGCATTCTCCAGCCTTGTCACATCTCCCTGCTCCCCATCCTGCTGCTACCAGCCCCACTGCTACTCTTAAGGCATCCCTATGAGGGCAGTGGGATGTGAGAGGGGTTTTGTTTCTCCCCTTCTCCTGTGGGGAAATCTGTTGGGTTTTTCTCCTCTCCATAATCATGTCTATGAATGTGGTTTTTGCCTGCTACCCATGGGTGTGGATGAGTTCTCTCACAAGGGGAAAAATAAGCTTCTTGGACTCTTCAGCTTGACCTGGAAATCAGGAGGGAAGTTATGGAGAATTTTGCTTCAGGCTTACATGGATCAGATAAGCATGGCTCAAATGTACCATGGTTTCCTTACTCAGTTGAAGCCTCATCTTTCTAAACCACAGATGCAGCAAAAGGGCTGGAAGGATTGCATTTTGAATGGGGAGAGTCATGCTGAAAATGATTCAGTAGGCAAAAAAAAGTCATCACAGGGGTCATCCTCCCCCGTAAAAGTTTTGAAAGTTAAGGCACAAACGAAGGACAGATCACACTGGTATGACACTGGGCGTGGTGTTCAGTTCAAAGATCAGAATTCCAGGGCAGTGCTGGGGAAAAGTCCTTGAATTTGCTGGGCTTGGGTTCATCCCACCCAACCACAAGTGCTCTGCTTGAAGCATTCTCTTACTTTAGATCCCTGCTGGAGCTGGTGGAGAGTTGGGTGGGGGCTCACAAGAGCTGGCTCAATATTTCCAATTTTTACCTGTTTCTGCTGTAGTGAATTTAGGAAAAGTCCATGTCTGAAGGACAGCCCATGGTGTGAGAAGGGAGGGAGCAAGCCTTAAGGCATAAAGACCTTACTGAAGTGATCCCAGGTCTGCTGAGGCTGACTGAAGGGCAAAGAGCTGAGGGACAGGATGGCCTCTGCTCCCCTGTGCAGCTGTTGCCTCCTGAGTAATCCTCCTGATTTCAAAAATAGCCAAGCAATGTATTTTTTTTGCTGCTGCCTGACATGATGGAGTCCCATTGATGACAGCACTGGGAAGGGGTGAGTGGGATGTGGCATGGACTTTGGAGCCAGGTATGAAAGTGTGCTGCTGGATTAGGTGTGTTTAAGACAGGGCAGACTCTCCCAAACACCTTGTCTGGATGAGGAAATGCTGGCTGAAGCTGCCCATGCCAGGACACATGCCAGGACAGGTCTGCCTGCACTGCTGCTATAGGCAGACATTGGCTGTCATCTAGACAATTTTGATTTCACTTTTTCTCACCCTTGAGAAATGCTCTTTTTTCACAGGGTGAATTGGGTCGGAGAGTTTGGTTTTTTTCTCACATCGTTAACAGAGAAATACCAGCGATCTTTAAGGTACAAACAGCATTTCTCAGACACCAAAACCCCCTAAAACCATGGAGCACTACTCTTCCTACTCAAACTAAATACCTCTCAAAGTTTTCTGTGTAGTGACAGGACTCTGCCAGCTCCACAGTAGATTAAAAATCCCTCATCTTGCAGTCAAACCTCCTCCTAACCCTGCTACCCTCTGTGAACACTTGGTCCTGCATTTGAGGCCAATCACCTTGAATTTTGACCTTTACAGGCAAGGTACATTTCAGGTGGGCTTCAGCTCAGCCAGCTTTTCATGGAAGTGTAATTTTATGTGAATCTGTCTGGGCTCTTCTTGCACTCATCTGGGAGAAACAAGCACAGAAAAAGCAAAATACACCTTGGTGTAACACTGGTGAAGAAAACAGTTGGCAATTTAAATACAGTGAGCTGGCACATATGAATGCTCTGGTTTCAATTTTCTGCAGAACTTGAAAACTCCATCAAGGAGCAATCAAAATTCTCAACAATGAGGAGCAGCAACTTTCTGCTGTGTACAGGGAAAAGGCAAAGGTTTTAAAGGGAAAAAGCCTTTACTGTCAAGGGAAGAAAATACAGAATTCTAAGTAGATGTTGTGCAAGTTATTTCTTTCCATCTAACATCCTCTTTCATTCCCTTAACTAGGCAAGATGGACTTTTACCTCATCTCAAGCATAGCAGGAGGTGTAGTCATCTTTGTCATCTTTGTGATTTGTCTTATTTATTGTATCAGAAGGAAGAAAATAAAAAGGCGTGAAGTTTATGGTAAGTGTTTAAGGGCCTTTGTTTAGCTATCCAGCCACCTAAAATATCAGAGCTTCCCACTGACAGCAGCCCTGTGGTCAGGAGCATTCTCTCTGCCCTGACATGAGCAATAACCTGGTTTTAGCATATGATGAATCTGTATAGATCAGCTGGCATTGCCAGTCTCGCTTTCTGATATGTGCTTTGAGCAAAGCCACCTGAGTATTATTTTACATTACGGCTGTTCTCTTTTGAGTGGTAGAGACACTGCCTCAGCTGTGCAGTGACACCAGATCCTCAGTTCTCGGGCCTGGATTCAGCAGGAACTAAGAAAACGAGTCTGAGAAAACGAGAACTGATACTTTAGTGATTATTTTATGGTGACTAGCCTCTCTGAAACAGTTTGCTGCGTGTTTAAGGCCAGCTCAGTGTCTCAATGGGCAAATGCCTCAATCCCTAAGTTAAGATGAGTAATATTTCAGAAATGATGAGCCAGTGATCAGAAGTCAGTTGGTATGAATTTACTTCTTCTCTGTGTGTGAAAATTAATGCTGGCCAAAGGGATCTCTGGCTTCCAGGTGTCTGGAAATCCCAGCATGGACGATGGGAGGGCAGATTGCTTTGACGTTGCTTCCTGGGGTTAGATCTCACTTTCCCTTCAGTAGCCTCCAAAAGGGGACAGAACAGCTCAGAATGGGGGTGTCCATTGATGTCTGCTTGAAAATGCTGGTTCCCCAAAGAGACAGGGCAGAGCTGCCCCAAATGCTCCAGGTACCTTGGTCTCAGCCAGGCAGCCAAAATCTTTCATGCTGGCCCGGGAGCTGGAGGCAGAGGTGATTTTTGCTGTTCACTGGGACGGCAGGAACACCTGAGAGCGGCAGGTTAAAAACCAACATTTGGCTTTTTTTCCTTGCGTGGGCCGAGGACATTTCCCTGGCTTCTTGCCTTCTCGGTGGGTGTGTGACCGTGGGGTCCTTCTGTCGTTGCAGAGGAGGAGCGAGTGATGCAGCCTCTGCCCGTGGACCGCGAGAGAGGGATGCGGGAGCTGCCTCAGACTCCATCCACCCCCACCCCGAAGCGGCTGCGGGTGCAGCAGCGGCCACTGCCCCCACAGCCCCCACAGCCCCAGCAGCCGCTGCCCCCACGGCCCCAGCCGCGGCCCCGCGCACAGCCACGGACCCCAAACCTCCCCAGAGAAAGGCCCTGAGCTGACAACCTGGGAGGAGGGATGCTGGTCTCTCTGCTCCACCCTTCCCTGGGAAAAGAAGGTTTCTCACAGCCAGGAGCCCCTCCTGCCCAGGCCTGTGTAATGCTCAGCTATGAAAAGGCGGCTTTCATTGCAGAAAATTAGAGAGAGCGTCAAATGGAGACGAAGAGACCCGGTGGAGGAGGCTCAAGGTGATGGGCATTCAGCCCTGTGGCCATTTTTTTACAGCTGTCTTCATGTTAGGATATGGATATGGAGCACTGAGCCTTGAAACCTGTGTCTTTCACTTGTTTTTACTGCACCTTGTTGTCTTCGTGCTTTTTGGATGGTTTTCACCAAGAAGAAGCTAAAGCTCTACTGAGACAAAATGGACCCATGGATCTTACGGGGTTTTATCTCCTGCTACACATTAGGACAGCTCTCTGGCTCCAGCATCAAATACACGGCCTCCTGGACCAAAAAATAATTGTATGTAATGAAATATTTGTCTGAAGTTGAAAGGATTTGTGTTGCATAATGCAGAGAAAATATTTAAAGGACATGAGAGAGCCTTGAAGCACCTGTGTGGGAAAAACACAAATGGGAAAGGAATAAACATTTCCCCTTTCTCCACTGTGTTTAGAAAGGAACTGTGGGTTTGAACTGCAGCAAGGGAGAGTTAGGTTAGTATTTTATTTTATTTTTTTTAATGAAACACTGAGAGAGATCTCTGGGAGAGGTTCTCCAACACTGGGGTTTCAAAGGGTGGATGAGAATGAGTAATGAGAACATCCTGTGAAGGCTCTGTCCTGGCAAGGGCCAGGAGATTGTGCTACACAGCCTCTTCAGGGACAGTTTCAACCCCATTTTCTGTGACTTTTAGGCAAATAAAACAAACCTTTCTTCTCAGCTTAAGTCTGTGTGGCTATCCAGACAATTTTATTTTATTTTATTTTATTTTATTTTATTTTATTTTATTTTATTTTATTTTATTTTATTTTATTTCATTTTTTTGCATAGAAGAGGATTTGGTCTCATTTGGCTTGTGAAACAAAACATTATAAACTGCCAGCCACTAGGATTACTGGTGGCACTGAATTGTCAGGGGTTTACATCTCAGGGCTCCTGCTGAGGGCGAGGGACGGCGTCTCTTGATTTTGCTGGTGTAGCCAGGGGATGACAGAGAGCTGCTGAGAGATCTGCATCCCCAGGGGGAAAGCTGGACTGCAATAAGTGCACCTGCATCACCTTCCACGTGCTGGCCACTGCTGGCTCCTCTGGGCCTTGGGGGTGTCCGTAGCTGCCTCTACAGGACAGCTGAGGAGCTGAGAGCACAGGCCAGTTTTAGAGCAGTGGCTGGATGGGTACACTGACCCACCTGGGCTAAAAGGCCGGGCAGGTGAAGGAGGAGAGGGCTACAAGAGCCACAGAGACATTCAGCTGAAGTGTCAGGCAGAAGAGCTCTTGATACCTCCTTCAGGCCGGCCTATCCCACATGTGCCAGGGGAGCTAAAATGGCCATGCTTTGTTTCTCCTGAGAAATATGACTATTTTTATCTTCTGCTGTAAGGGCAAGGAGGCAACTTGTCAGGAAAAGGAAGTGTCTGCCTCCTCCGGAGCTCAGTCACTTCACTTGAACTCTGACAGCAGGAGCAGCCCTGGGAGTGCCACTTGCTCTTGCCTTAGCTTTCTGCAGCTGACTTTCGGGCTTTTGCTATTTAAAATTGCATTTTGTGAAAGTTTCATGGTTTATTTTGTAACATACCATATGCTATATCCCCGTACTGAATGAATAAAGAGAAGACTGGGTGCAGAGGATCTTAGTTCACAGCTGTGCTGGTACTCCAGTATCTCACTTTGACACAAAGGAGGCAACAAAAACATTTGTGTCCCTGAGCCACAGAAGCAGGGATGCAGGAGGTGCCACACCATCCCTGGGAGGTGCTGGGGTGCCAGGAGCTGGTGGGCTCAGGCTGGTGTGGATGAACACAGCTGCTTTGTCTGTCCTGTGCTGCCAGAGCTTTACTGGTGCTGCTCTGTGGTTACAGGTATGGGGGTCCTTCCTGGAAGAGAGGGAGGATTACTGAGGCCTGAGAAAGAAGATTTAACCCTGTTGGGTTGATTTACACCAAAACACAGTCCTTGGCAGGCAGGCAAGGAAATACTACTAGCACAGAGTATGCCTGTGCAATGGAAAGCTCATCATGGCAATACTTATTTTTTATTCACTCTTTTTTTTTTTTTTATAGTCACCATTGTTTTTGTGATGTCTCATTGTACAGGTATTGTCCGTTGCAGCACATCAGGAACAAATATTTTTGAGATATCACAAAAACCATGATGACTATCAATGCTCTGTGACACATTCAGAAAAAATGCTGATTTACCAAATAAGCACCAACCAGAACTTCATTTTTCTGAATATGTGTTTTGGGGAGTTCAAATCTTGGGCTTTTATGCTGTAGTGGATGTTTCAGTTTTGGAAAATGAGCTGACATTGGGACTTAAGACATAACAGGACGTGCTTGGCTCTGGTGATTCTTGCTGCAACCTTTCTTGGTTCTTCTTTTGTAGACTACCACTGAGTCATGAGATGAAGTGTTTTTTCCTATTCTCCTTAAGAGGGATGAGATGATGGATGTGCTGGTCTAGTCCTTGTCTGTCTGCTGCCTCGTCCCCCCTGTCTGGAGAGCTGCAGTTTCTGCTGCCTGGCTATTAGCAGGGATCAGTTTTGCTTGGTGGTGTGCTCCAGAGCCAGTGCTGAAGGAATGGGAGGGAGGGGGAGTGGTCAAAGCAGGTCTGTAGTTGTGCTGTGGTCCTGTGGCACTCACCAGATGGGCAAACTGAGCAGGCACCCAAAAGAGCAATAGCTGGCTCTGTAGAAGATACGAATCTTCTATCCCAGCATTAATCCATGTGAAAACAGCAGCACTTGCTGCCCTAACTTGGCCTTCTTTACCTTCTGGTAAAGTAGCCAGAACCTGCTTGTATCTCTGTTGGCTATTAGCCTGTCCAGAGGGAGGTTCTCAGGCTTCTGGCACAGGCAGTGTGGGAGACAACTAGATAATTTAATTTCTAAACTACAGCTCTGAACCTGTAAGAGGTCAAGTAGGAAACCATGGCTAGCACAAGTCTTTCTTGAGATGCTAGCCAAAATGATGCTATGGGGAAAAGACACTGATTCTGCAACAGATATTCAGGTGCTGATGTGGAGATAAACTCCAGCCCATCAGCTCCCTCCCCATTCTGACAGACAGGTATTATCTCAGTTGTCCTGAAGCCTTGCAAAGGCTTAGAAGTGCTGGGTTTGTGTTTCAAAGTGCAGCCCTCATGGGCAGAGCTCAGAGAGCAGGGCAAGGTGTTCTACCTGCATTCCTTGCAGGTGCCAGCCCTGCAGCGAGCAGCCTGGCATGCCTGGCACCTCCTGATACCCAAACTGGCTGATGGTCACCCTGAAGGACTGAGGGTTTTGTTCCTGTGCTGCAGCTGATAATGTAAGAGGTCTGGCCTCAGGCTTTTGGAAAAGATCAGTTTGTGGCAGCTATCAAGCTCATGAAATACCGCTGCTGGGCAATCCTATCTCATGCTGTGGGAAGAAAGAGGAAGGTTACTCAAAGGAGAGGACAGTAAGAGGCCCTGTGCCAATGATCTGGCCTCCTGGTCTCCTCTGCCAGCCTCATCTCAGAAGAGGGGTGCCAAACCCAACCTTCTCACTCTCCCCCAGCAAAGGGCTCCTTCCCTCCCTGTAGATGGGAGATTACCACAGGACCTTCTCCCATCCTTCCAGCCTGGCTGCCTTGAGCTATGGATCAACAGAAGTGTGGGAGCCTTTCCCTCCCTCAGAGGAGCAGCTTCAGCCTTTACCCCTTTGGAGATGTGCCAGACCAGCTGCTTGGGGGCCTCTGGTGCTTGCCCCAAACTGAAATTCCCCTCTGCTCTGCTACAGCCCCCTCAGCAGAACTGCTCTTCCTTCATGAGGGGGAGTTGCTTTCTCCTTAAGAACAGCAGGGACACAGGTGAAGGAGCTTTCCCAAAGCATGACATGGCTGCTGCTCCCCTGGACCTTCTGGTGGAGCTGGGAGTGTGTGAAGGGGGGCTGTGAGCAGAAAAGAGCAGGTGTGTGAGGAGCTACCTCATGTCATGATCAAAGCATCTTCCACCTTCTGTCCAGGGCTTCCAGGCTGGGATTTAGGGACAGAGGAGGATGGCAAGGATTAGCTGGGCTGGCCCAGTGAATAAGCCAGGCTCAGTGCATGGGGCATACAGGACGACAGGGCAGCTGAAGAGGATGGGCAGGCATGGAAATGGCTGCTTGAGAAGATGAGCTGGATGACCAGGAAGCAGGATTTGAGTCACAAAACTTTATCACACTCTCAGTCCTGGGGTGTGGCTTTTCTTTCTGTGCAGAACTCCCATCTGAAGTGTGATTTACCCTTTGGGCAGGGGCATGAGTTGTCTGCCTTGCTGGGCCTCTTGCTTCCCCCTCCATTTTTCATCTGAGGACCAGCTGCCTTGTTCTCACCTCCTGTGACACTTCCCATCATTACTGTCTATTCTAGTTTTCCTTTCCTAGAAAATTCCCACTCTGGATGGTTTATTCTTCCTCTTTGAATGACACCTCAGGACTCCACCTATGCACACATCTAAGGGAGGAGAGGGGACTTCCAAGGTGTCCTCATGGCTTCAGAGCATGGCTCCTCATGGTCATGCCTACCCTGAGAAGGCCCTCTCCAGACTGCTTTGCTGTTGGCTGCCTTTGCCAGTGCTGTCAGGAAGGGTTCCTGGCTCTGGAAGGAACCTCCTGGCTGCCTTCTGCCATGGAAAGTGCACAGCCTGTGCCTCCTTCCCTTCCTGAGTCTCACTGGGCGTGCAGTGAACCCTGGGCACGGAGCCCATGGTGCTGTCAGGCCCTGCTAAGGCGGTGTTTGATCCTGCCCACCTGCCTGTCACCAGAATTGGCCCCAGAGAGGTGCCAGAGCCTCGCCTGCCTTTGGTTTGGGCACTATTGTTCGACAGTTTCTGCCTCAGGTGCATCTGAAGCGCAGTTTTGAGATAACAGGAAGAGATAGTGCCACAATGGAGATGCTCATTGGTTGTGTTTCCCACACACTTTTTCTGTCTACATAAAAACAGCAGCCAAGGGTTTCGAGCTGCTGCCTGGCCTCCCACACAAATGCTTGCTTTCATTTCCAGTGCTTTTTTGTGGCATGGGCCAGGCGAGCGAGCACGGTGCCGAGGCAGAGGGCTGCGAGGAGAGACCGTCACTGCTGTCTGCTGAGGTGAACAGCTCTGAAACAACACTGCCTGTAGGCATCTCCAAACTGCATTTCTATGTTTGCCACTCCCTGGCTCAACAGCAGTGAAATGGGGACAGGCAGTAAGGCTGGTGCATTTGGACAGCCAGACCTTGTAGAGGCCACAGGATGAAATGTCTGGGACTGCTGCTCTTAGCAGCCAGAATTAGGCAAACCCCTCTTCCTCTGTCAAAGCCAAAGCGAGCTTTCCCATGAATAATGGCAATGAAATAAATGCTTGTTTGCCAACAAGTTCCTGTGGAAGGGTGCCCTGGTCTCCAGCTTTTCTTTCATAAAACATGCGTGCACATCACGTGCTTCCACGATGGGCTCTTCGCAAAGCCCACATCAGTCCCTTCCCCATTTGGCTGGGTGCCCCAGGGCCCCCTGTGCTTGTTGGCAGGTTTTCTAGAGGATCCTGCTGGGCAGTTCCCAGCAAGGAACTCTGTGCCAGGGCACTGGGGGCTTGCCCTGCTCTGCCTTGGCTTTGCTCTTAGTCCTGACTCATCTCACAGTGACTGGTGTGTCCTGTCTGTCCCTTGTGACTTGACCTGCCCTGAGCAACAGGCACATGGCA